GTCGGTCCGTCGGTCCGTCGGTCCGTCGGTCCGTCGGTCCGTCGGTCGGTCGGTCGGTCTGTCGGTCGGTCGGTCGGTCTGTCTGTCTGTCGGTCGGTCGGTCGGTCGGTCGGTCGGTCTGTCTGTCTGTCTGTCTGTCTGTCTGTCTGTCTCTCTCTCTCTCTCTCTGTCTGTCTGTCTCTCTCTCTCTCTGTCTGTCTGTCTGTCTGTAGAATCATCCCCGTTAGCCAAGTTTCTAGGACTTGGTCCTCTGCTATCTTTTCACAACAGCATGCCTCCAAGTTAGAGATTCGATAGGCTCTCCTGCTCTTGCATCAAAAACCAATATTATTACATCCCTCTACAATGTGACCTGTCCGCTTGTGCACTGCCATGCTGGCCAGGCACCGCCAATCTGGGTGGCCATAAAGGAGAAATCTGATGGACAAACAGGTTGCACTTCCGTGCAAGCATTTGGGCCTGAGCACACAGGGCTGATGAACAAAGGGTTCACAAGCTCATACAGAGTGAGAGAAATCTGTCACTGTTTTCAGGGCCGAAATTATGGCGCATCCGCTTGGAACTTGAACCAAGTCCACAAGTCTGTCCAACAGCAGTGACTGTGCCAAGCGGAAAGCAGTCGTTGCTCCATTCTCTTACCATTCTCTTAGTCTGTCTTGACTGAATCGCCCATGACTCACGACCAGGCATATCATCGAACAATAGATTGAATAACAAACACGTATCGGACATCTCCTCTGACAAGATGGAAGATCTAGTCAGCCCGTTCTTCCCTTGGGTTCTGACACGCAGAATGCAATCGTTCGAGCTTCTCCGATGCGTTCCGGTCGTAGATTTCTTAGCGCTGCGACGCTGCGACCGGCTTGTGAAAAGCTACCTCCAAGGTATGAAGTCAAGATGCCTTGAACACAACTTCATGAACTATTGAGAAGCCTTGATTCTTCCTACAGTCAAAGAGATAAGAGGAGGGTGTTTCGTTCTCTTCAGTATGCTGCAAGTGGACAAGGTGGATTTATCCCTTTTTGAAATGGTTTTCTTGGATGGCACCCGACATGGAAGCAGCGCGTACCGCTCATGTGCGTGCTGTCCGTCGCTGTGCTCTCAACCCAGTTTCCGGGTGAAAACCGTTGCTGGGTCCTTGGGCCATGTTGCCTCCCTCAAAACGACCATGTTCCTTTTGCTTTTTGATGCTCTTACCTTCTTGTTTCAGGGCGGGCGGGCACCAGAAATCGCTGTTTCGGTCGCTCCGAACACACACATCCAAGAAATCTACTTTCCCAGAGATCCGGAGGAAAGCTTTTAAAATGAAAACTGTTATTATAGAAAGCTCTTCAATATAGAAGTCATCATTCCCAGATATTTAGAGGAAAGCTTCTGAAATAAAAGCTCTCTAAATATAGAAAATACTATTCCCACGAATCTAGAGGAAACCTTTTAAAATTAAAAGCATGCGTATATAGCTTCTAGTGTAAGAAGTAATCATTCACAAAAATCTAGAGGACAGCTACTGAAACGATAGTTTGTATATAAGGTCTTTTAACTATACAAATAGTTATTCCCAGAATTTTAGAGGAAAGCTTTTGAAAGTAAAGCTCTTACAAAAAGCTTTCCACATAGAAATGATTATTCCTAGAGATTACTTTTAGAAAAAGCTAGCTATCTACTCAACAACAGTGTTTTGACCTAGTTCCCAGCACTCCCAGGGCAAGAAAACACTGTAAAATATAAGGTTTTGTAGCATTTGTTCTTGAGATCTTTTAAGTGGTAGCCTGTCCCTGCCCTCCATATCTGATAATTAAATGAAAACTTAATTAGATTTGAATCAGAATTACATTAGAATTTAATCAACATTGAATTAGAATTTCCTTTGCACCAAATTCGAGCTAAATTGAATTAAAGTATAATTCGTTTAGAATTAGAGTTGAATACGAACTGAATTCAAATCATATTAGAACCGAGTTGGAATTATTTAACTTAGAACGTGATTAGAATGAAATTTGGATTGAACTAGAATTAAATTAGGCTTGAATTACTATTTGATTTGAAATAAGTTAAAATGAATAGAATTAAATTAGATTTAAATTTGAATGTGAATTAGAAATTGAATTAAAACTGCAGTCGAAATAAGTTTCCACTGAAATAAAATCAAATTAGGTGCAAAATAGAATTAATTTAGAATTAAACTAGAGTTGAATTAGAAATAGATTAGAATTAAATCAGATTTCAATATGAATGTAGAATTTCTACCCTGGAAATGAATCACAGCTACAGCTTCCACCTGTTCATTACAGTTTCGTACGTCAAGCTGCTTGGAAATGCAACGGCACTGATACCAACCAGAAATCCATGCACACAGACTTGTGCATGAGATTTGGACAAAGGGAGTGTTGGGCTCAGACGCTTTCAATTGTAAGAAGAAAGTACAAATGACTTTAGGTGAGACTAACGGAAAACGAGACAGGAGCAGCACACAGATTGTCTTAGGAAGGAAAATGCCAAAAAACTAAAAGGCAAAAAAAATAACAACTAAAAAACATCAAGAAAAGAAAAACATTGGAAAACCAAAAAAATCAGGGGAGTCTTCGGGAAGAGGGGGGCCTGCCAAGAGTCTCTGAGAATTTGTGTTATTGGTTTTATGGTTCTTTTGGTTGTCCCAAGGTTTTTGCTTTTTGTATTGGTTTTAGAGTTTTCTATTTTTTTGTGTGATGTCTATTGTATTTTTGAGTAAATATCTAAACAATCTCAGTGCAATTCCATACAACTTAAGCCTAGATACAAGTTTCCAAAACGCAGGCCTCATGGCGTGCCCTTCTGATTAATTCAGTATCTCAGTATAGTAGCTATTAGATTATCAATTAGGCTACTAGTAGCGGCTACTGTAGTAGCTGGGATGCAGGAAAGCTCAGGCTTCAAGGAATTCAATTAAGCTTGAAGAAGCCCTCGCACAATTCACTTGATTCCAGGATTGTGAGGGAAACTTCACTCCAGGGCCAGGTCACCTGCAGTGCAATTCTTGCCAGCAAAATAGCTGCAATCCACCTCCTGTGGCAGCTGGGCAGCTTGGCAAATGGGCTCGCAATGCATGAAATGAAGCGTACTGCATGCAGCTTGGCTGACCTGTTTCGTTGACCCTTCACCTCCGAGCCCCCCTAGGGCCGGTCAGCTTCCCAAAAAGTGTGGACCCGGGAAAGAGACGGAGGGTCGGAGAATGGGGCGGAGAAACAACGACGGTTCATGTGTTCACTTCTTTGGGTGGTCAAACGAAAGTCTTTGGAGCCATTTTGGAGCCATTCTTCTGCGTCCTTGGATCTAGCTTGTCTTTACTTGCTAGCTTTGCTTTCTTCTCTGTTCTCTGTTCTCTTGTGGAACCGATGTAAGAAGAGCACAATCGATGCCACCCTGGCTAGGCCTCCGTCTGTTCTTGTACTCACTACTTGCTGGTCGGCCTTAACCCCCAAGACCTCGTCGCCTAGACCTGTTCGACTCAGTAGGGCGCCATGTCCCATGCTCGGCTCCCACCTTCTGTCCAACACAGGCAAATGAGGAGGAGCCCCGGACGAAGCCGATGCTCCTGCCGTCCCAGGCGTGTCATCGGCGCACGCATCCCGGAGCATTCCGACGGCACCGAACTTTGGATGCCTAACTTTGGCTAGGAAGAGTTTGCGCTTTTGGTGCATCTGCTAGTTGGCCAAAAAATGAAACATCTCAGACTCCAAGCTCAGTGCTTTTGCAATCACTCACGGTGAATGAAAGGCCATGACAGAGCCCGTTGTCACTGCACTTGGCTGAGTACAACCAAGTCTTTTCAAGGGGGAGATGCAGACACGGCTGACGGATGGCGCATGAGGGGTGGCGGTGGGGTACGGCTGGACTGGTGCCTTCATGAACAAAGTGTCTCTCATATCCTACATGAACAATGAGCATGGATTGCGTTGGGCGTTCGATTCCCGGCCTGTTCCAAACTTCACACCTCTGATGCTTGTCTTGAAATTCCACGCCAGTACAGTAGTCGATGGAGAAGCAAACGTCCAAGCCTGGTGTGGGCGGGTGAAGGCTGCCATGCCGAGCTCTCAGATTCCACCAACAAACATCAGGCAGCCCTGAAGAACAACGATGATAGTTTTTCCTGTCCGATCTTGTCGGTATCGACTGTCATCTAAGCACTTTTCTACCACCTGTTACATCCAAACACCAAGCACCATCACAGACTCACACCTTGTGCAAGAGTCTGAACCACAGATTTTCGGCGACCGGCGACTCAATCTTCGCTAGTCTGATCTTCCTTTTTATTACGTCAACACCAACCCAATGTCTTCGAGCTGAGGAAGTTGCTGCAGCTGAGCTGTTTTCGCTTCAGCACAAGAACTGTTCATGTCGATCTCGCCGGGAACCGGGGAGACCCAAGGGCCCCCGCATGCTTCAAGGGTCAGCTGAGGGTCATGCCTCAGAACACCCGCCGGTGTTGAGCCAAGCCGACCGGGCCCCGGAAAGATGGAAAAAAGGGGCGCCACAGAAAGATGGAACAGCTCCTGTGAACCAAAAGCAGCAAACCAATCAAGCTTGAAAGTCTCTGCGTGATACACCAGGACGCAACTCTTCCTTCCGACAAATGGATACAAATGGTTGATTCATTCAAAGCACCTGCTGGTTGTGCCGCCACCGTTGCCTGCACAGGACCGGCGGGGCCCCGAGACCAAGAAAAGTTCGAGCGCAAAAAGCGGCGAAAGCCCAAAGTGGCACCGCCCCAGTTCAATTAACGACAGACCCTCTGCAAATCTTAAGAATTCAAACAAGACATGAAATACCTTTTGATTCCAGCGAGAACTTTCAGAGGCTGGATGATCCAATGTCGTCCTCTATAGGCTTCTCTACATTGATGCTTCTCAATTCACACAGATCTGTGACTTCTTAAATGGAGATTGCACCCGCCCCCCAATGATTGAGAAAGGTAATTAAACATGATAGATGATAGACCGTCGATTAAGCAATGTGAGCACTGAAGCCCCATGCAATTCTGTGTGTGGTGTACCATATTATGTAAGGAACGGCATGTTCCCAGCGTTTAACATGAAACGCCCCGCCCCGCCTGTGGTGTCTCCTTCGTTCAACCTGCACGTGCCCCGGCCCAAGTATAGAAAGAAGACCTGCCAGCAACAGGGCATCATTCCTTCAGAATGCAAAGAAGTTACAGATCTTACAGTAAAGAGGCTCGTCAAGCGTGTCCATCTGTATCAGATGAATAAAGAGTTGGTTCCACAAGTGAACCCGCTCAACCGCTCAAGTGGGCAAGAGAAAAAAACAGCAAGTTCCAAGGCTTTTTGATCCTATGCAGGCCCTGATAGATTCTTTTGTAAGTGTAGTCCAAATGAAATTGCCGACTACCAAATCGTACAGCATGCTTGATCAATTCAATTCAAGGTGGATTGCGCCGACTGGCCCGAAGAAAAACCGCACATTCATGTTGGCTTTTAGTCAAAAAGTGCATGCCAAGGAGTGCAAAAATCTCGTGAGACAAAAGAGAGAGGTTCAGGACCCATGAGAATTAACCATTTGGGTGTCTCTGAACGCAGCCCACAAAAAAGAGTATGGAAAGTGAAACACTTCCGCTCGCTTTCAGGTACTTTCCAAGGCCTTATGATTGACTGATACATGCCATTAGGGCCATTCTGACTAAGGACGTGGCATCAAAGTAGTAGGGATCATCTAAGCAACCTCAGATGCTGGAACAATGGGTGTGAAGGACATGGACAGTCGACTGGAGGGATTGAAGAAATATACAATCTCTGAATTGATTTTGCAAACCCATCGACTTTGTTCCGTTCAGCCATCGACTTTACACGATTGGTTTGCACAACACAAAACCAGGTCATGAGCAAAAGCAATTGTTTGCCAGCCTATCAATCTAGATTGGAACAAAATCTGGTGATGAAAGGGAGAACGTTTTGGTCTTGACAAGTGTCATTGAGTTTCTTTTTTGCAATACCCACTAGCATGTCTAAAGTCTGACAACGAGTCTTTTTGCAACACAATGGACCCTCCTGCCCGTCTAAAATCATTCTGCCTTTCAGCAAAGCCGCCAGAGAGCCCTTTCGGTTCCCAGGTCATCCTCCACTCGAAGCACAAGACAGGCAGGATGTGCAGCAAGAACACACCAGTTGCCTCAAAACATGTCGAGGTTGCAGCCTGTTCACCCAATAACATTTGGTTTGTTTCAGGAAGATTTGGGACAACCTGACCTTTTTGCACCAAATAAATGGATACACCCAGGTGCGCACAATGGAACACACAAATGGTTTTCAATCAGTCAGTGCAAATTCTCGTCGCAAAACTTAAGGCAGTTGACCGGATGTGTCCATGGCCACGCCATGGGAGGAAATGGACGGAACGCCTTGAACAAAAAAGACCTGGGCCAACATCCTTTGCCGAGTGAAAAGTCGCAAATACAGTAGATCAATGTTTCGCAGCAACACAACGACCTGCCTCTCAACCAATTTGACCATTTTCGTGAAATATGCATGGCGGACCTGTGCAATCGAAAACACACCCAGTTCTTTATCAAATTTTCAATTTTGTCTTCCATGCGCTTGGGGTCATACTGCCAAATAAAAATATACAGTATAAGTATATACACCGTATATACTGTATCCTGTTTTTCTATGAGAACCTGGGGTAGCAACACCTCTCTGCACGGGGTTTGGCTATCATGTTCAAGCTGAGTGGAAGCTGGAACTCACCAAAAATGGGTAGGTGAGATGGAAATCCACATGTGACGCCCGTCTTTTGGCGGTCCCTTTCAATACTGGAAAGACTGTCTGATCGATTTCTAACACTTCTGCTTTTCCAAAAAATGGGGAGAGCAGCCTCAGTTCTGCCCCAATCACCATGCGCGGCTTTTCGACAGCTTTCTGTACCGACAAATGAGTTCCATGAAACGCAAGCGTCCAAAAAAGGGTGGAGTGGTCTTGAAAACGCAAAAAAATACTACTGATGTTCTTCTCTGTGGGAATGCGCGCAAAGCAAACCAAAAGGATGCTCAGTTTCATGGCCATCAAAACACGCCGTACACTGCTGATGGCGCTACTTGAAACTCCGAGGTTGGTAGGGAAACATAAATTGAACTCAACGAGAAATTTTTCGACTCAGTGATGATAGTTGGTATCGAATGATGGCATATCTCAGCTGCGTTCCCTTTGATAAAGTGCTCCCCGCGCTTGAGTGTATACTTAAGGAAGTTGTTTTTTGCAACCAGGGTTTGGAAATCGAAAGCCTGAAAAGAACACACACATGACATACACCAACATAAACAGCGGAACTGTGTTTGACACTCTTGCTTGACATTTTTCAAGAGCCGACACTCTGGGGTTACACTTTTCTATAAAACAGTTGTGGGGCGCGTTTGCCCAACATTTGTCCTTGCCGACATTTTTGTGTAATTGTCAAACATGAAGCCTTTGCCCAACATGATTTCATGTACCGACGAACATGGTTTGATGCTGACTCACCATTTTTTCACTTCCATTTGCCTCTAGCATCGGTTCACTCTTCTCCATGCCATTCATGGGTGAGTTATCCAAAAAGCTTGACAAGTCACAACAAAAATCACTATGCACCCATACTAAAACTAGACGACAGTTGGCCCGAGAGCGAGACATGTAATTGTCCAGCACTGTCGAAAAGATTTGTAGAAAGAGAGAAAGAGAGGGTGGATGTGAAGGAGTGACAGTGTGGATGTGCAGGTGCGATATAGGTCTGTAGATGTATGGAGGTGGAGAGGTAGATCTGCGGATGTGAGCGTGTGAAGATGTAAATGTAGAGAGGTGAGGGGGTGTAGACGTAGATGCGTCGATGCAGTGGCAGCGCAACGTCAACCTTAGTTGTGCAAGTACAACGCTGAAGAGGTTCAAATAGAACTGAAGAACGTACATCTCACACTGAAGTTTCCACGAACAGGGCGACCTGAGAGTAAACGACGTCACGATCGTGACAAGCGACTCGTGTATTCCAAGCGAACATTGTTTGTCATGAAGGTGAAGTACACACATACTAACGTCACGATGACTCTTTTTGTGGCAGCCACTTATGAGTAAGCAAAGTAGCTAAAATTTGTCAACCTCTCAAGAGAGCCGGGTGGTCGGGAGACATGACTCAGCTGCAGGGGCGCCAGAGCAGCCGCGGGAGATGACTCAGCCGACTCATCCGCGTACTAAAGTTGTACTACAAAGTCGCCAGTTCTCAGCTTCCAGCTCCACAGCTTTTTCCGCGTCCTAAAGTTGCGCTACAAAGTCGCCAGTTCTCATCTCCCAGCTCCCCTGTTAGGTAGCTCGCTCTCCTTTTGGACCGACGCGCTTCAGTACGAAGTGATAAGAACAGATACTACACACATCAAAGCGGACATGTGGACTCTAGAAAAAGTTTTACACGCCGCCTCAAACACAACCCGGTGCTATTGTGGAGTAGTCGCCAATGTCCTGTCTGTTGTCCGTCTGTTATGACAAGCCATTCCTGCGTGGGCGACGCATCGACCGCATATCCATAGACTAGCCCATGCACGGTCGTGCCTTCCGGGAGGTGTGGCCCATCCTGCAGGCTGGATATTTCTGCTTTTGTCAAATGCGACAGTGTGGCTAAGACGAGGCGTAAGCGCCTCGCCTTTACCTTGATGATGCTCTGCTAGGCGTACAGGCAGAGGGCCAGACCATAGTTGGTGGGGCAGAAGCGCCTGTTGGAAGACAGTGGTAGCTTTCTCTACCTGGATTGCCGTGAGGTCCAGAGAGCCTCGAATCACTGGTTCCCAGTCATCATAGGTGTCAATGCTTTGAACACCATGTAAGAGGGCAGCAAGTACCTGTAAGGCCCCTGGCATTCCTTGCATGTTCAAAGGGCAGGCAAGGATGGTGAGGTTGGTGGCTCTGCTATATGCCACATTTGCCCGGGTAAAACATTCCTGGTCATAATCTAGATTGGGCCCTTCCCCGCTAAGAAAAGTAGACTCCCCATGTATGACAATGCAGTGCTTAGCTGTGGCACCTGCGACTTTGACTGCCGTTTCTGCATTAGCCTTCTTCCAGGCAATGTCAAAGTAATTGCGTGGATTTTGAGCTCCTTCTCGAGTAGTTGTGAGGGCCAAGATGCCTTCGTTTCCAGCCCCTGCTCTTGTCAGCTCATCTTCGAGGTGCTGGTAGACCCTTACCGTAGGGTTGTTCTTGGGCTCCTTTCTTGCATCTACGTTGGGCGAGGCATGGCGCCACTGGACGAATCGCAGCCCAGAGGCAATCAGCTGGTCTTCCCGTATTGAGGTGGTGCCTATTTGCCAGGTGTCGCCCAGGCGGCTGCAAAGCACAGGGTACTGAATTCCTATTAAAGGCTCGTAGACCTCTTGGGCAGCCCTTGCACTTGTCGGCAGCATTAAGCTCCAGCAATGCGGGCTGGCCACCCCCGATCTCTCTGCTGCGCTCTGCGCTTGCCGAAAGTCCAGTGGACTATCCGGGCTTGTGGCTGCAAACCCAAGACCGACCAGGAGTCCTTCCGGAAGGTCCAGATCAACACTGGAGAGCTCGCTGTATGTGGACTGCAACGTGCGGGCGAACGGAGACCCCGCCTTGACTTTATCCGGGCGGAACCAACTACCACCCAGAGGCCGGTGGCTTACAGCAACTGCTGCGTCTTCGAGATCGGTGCGCCCAATGCCTCGACCGTGGTGAAGGAGCGCCTGAAAGACCCCAGGGAATTCGTGTGGCATGTACCAGATATTGGGGGCTCGCAGCCCAATGGGGGCTTTGAGAAGGAGCGTGCGGCGAGCTCGCTGCCCGTCTGCCACTCCTCTCTGTCTGGGGTCCCCTAGTAGCAGTCGAAGAAGGCACGGCGTGAGACTGCTGGCGCGAAAGCGGATTTCAAGTCCATTTTTTTTGCACGGGTAGGGGCGCTATGTGTGCCGAGAGGCACAAGTCACCGAGTCGAATTCGTATGGGGAGTGTGAGGAATGAGCCTGACAAACACGAGCAGCGGAACCAAACCAAAACCCAAAACCACCCAAAACACAAACAAAAACCAACAACCACAGAAACAAGCAGATCAGGCTCATGTCCGTACTAGTCTAAAAGAGCAAAAGGTGCAGATCCGAAGACCAACACAGAAGTGGAACGGGGTGCTGAATTCATCTCAAGCCGCTCTCAGTACAGGACGTCCAGGACAAAGCTGCATTCTGCTGCATTCCGCGTATAGGCAGGAAGGTATCCCACCGACGGTGCACAGCGTATGCATGTGCATGAGCAGACTGAAAGCAAGGGTGAAGTGCAAATCAGGTTCGGCTAGGTCCATGCGAAGCAAGGCACTGCACAACTTGTATCAAAGAATGCGTGCGCGCAAACGACCTTGTGGGTAGTTTCAAGGTGACCAAAACCATGTCAATGGCACTTCACTCCTGCGAAGCAAAATTTCAGTATACTCGTGTCTTGGCTTGTTCATAGCGCACCTGGGATGTCGATCGAGGGACAAGATAGGAGCGACAAGGGGCGTTATAGCCTCCCAGCTATGTGGAGCATCGACCCTGAACTAGCGAGAGGTGGTAGGAAGTTCCGGATTGATACTTGGCCTCTCACTTATGCCTCTGCAATCATTCCACTTGACTTGCAATTGAGGTTTGCAAGTATTGCAACTGCGTCCAGGACATGATACAAAAGAAGCTGCTACAAAGACATGCCAAAGACAAGCGGGGGCACCGTGAGGGTCGGAGCAGCAGCAAGCAAGACACAGCCTCCCCCAGCCGGGGAGGCAGGAGCACGAGAGACCAGGTGACAGTGCCAAAGAGAAAAACAGGTGACAGTGCCAAAGAGAAAAATGACACCGAACAATCCTGGTCTCATCGCAAAGCAGGACCATCCATCACATTCAACTTACCTATATGACCGTTGCACAGGCACAAATGCAAGCGTGGTGTCGAGTTGCGCCGACGGAGGCACCGCTGTAGCCCTGGGTCACTCGAGTGCTTCAGAGCACGGTCTGTCATGCAAGCCCCGTGAACTAGGTGAAACACAAGGGTGAAACGTCGCCGTTCCTAGCGCTAGTCTTCTGTACACTGTACCGTCCCTGACCACCTCTTGGAAGGCAGCCAGGGGAGCTGGCTATCTACTCAGTGGCGCGGGCAAGGCCGGTAGAAGGGTCGAAAGGGTCGAAAGGCATAACCTTCTGCAATCTTACCACTAGGCCAGTGGTACTTTAGCACGGTTAGCTTTCCCAGATCATCACATGCTATTTACGAACGTGCCGTATCACTCAGAGTGGCTTCTGCACAACTGATCATGAATTCTTCCCACTCTTCTTTCACTGCATCTGGCTTGGGAAGAGACCGAATCCACGATGGGAGCGTTGATTTGGTACACATCTCAAAAGTGTTGTGCTCTACATAGGTC